TAAAGAAAAAGGACTCGACACACGGTTATCAACCCTAGAACTAAAGGAAACACGATGGTGTTTCCCAAATTGGCACGACTCACAATCTAGAACAGAAAGTTGTATGGTGCTTAGTTTAGTTCTTTCGTATTAAGAGCTCTATGAAAGTGACACTATCATCAATCGAATAAATAAGATTTACAGTTCCCAGCATCAATTCATGAATCGTGTAGACAAACTTCAGTTCCGACTTTGATATCAGACTGACCAACAACAACTAGATAGATTCACCATATAATCCACATGCTAGAGAATCATGATTAGATACTATCAAATGACTAGTGACATTACATCCATATAAGCCATATGCACCATCATACAAGCCATAAGCCATTTGTTTCTGCTCTATAAGACCATAACTTTAAACCTCTCTCAATTAAAATTATCATATTTAAGACAAACTACTTGCCATACAGGTCAGCTCGCCCAGCCCGATCTTGCTTATCTGCCTTTGCAAAAACATTTAGGGCAAATCCATCCACATACAAGTTGTCTTCAAGCCCCAACTTCATTGAATTCTTGTCCTGTTAGAATAGGAAGAAAAATTTAGCTTCATTTAAATTTTAAGGAGCAGTGCTAGTAAACAAGTTCTTGCACACCATATTTCTCAAGGCAGAAGTACAATCTATGAACCTTGTAGGGAAATACTTAGGGACACCATAAAATATAAGGTAGGAAGCAGCAAGATTCAGAACATTTGAATAGTAAGCATTCATAATGGTTCCTTCTACTAAGGTTCCAATCAGCTTAACCAGCACCAACAAAACATTCTGCTGCAATATGTCCTTTAATAATTGCATTTCAGATCCAGAGCTAGAAATTAAATAACCAATGAAGACGTTCACAGAACTACACACAAACACACACAAATGTAAGTAGGGTGAGATTCGGCACTATGAAGGTCTAGCCCCAAAGGTCCTAGGAGAATGGCGAACTGAACCAAGGGGAGGAGGGGAGAAAAGGAGTTGGGAAAACCCCTAGATGGGCTGCCTGCATACCCTCTAGTGGGGGATCAGGCCATTGTAGTTCGCCAGTTCTACAGTTATGCCAGGAGGAAGATGATACCATAAAAGGGAGTTTGGGGAGGCTGAACGGGGTTATGGAAAGGGTTTCAAATCTCAAATCTGAGATCTGAGGAAGAGAGTCTAAGGCGGGAAAGGAAGCTCCCAATCTAGGGGAATGATGCACGTGTTTTGGATCCTCTCGGGGAACCCTTTTTTTATCAATAATAGAGATTTCATTAAATGATTAAAGATTGAAAATACATAGAAAGGGAGCTAAAATAGCTTAGCCCACCATAACTGTCACTAGACACCCAAAAAACAAAAACAATTGCAGCTGAGCCTAAAAAACAAAACTCCTATTCACCCCTTGTCTAGCTAAGCCATCTGCAAAAGAGTTTGCACTTCTCTTTATCCATGTGCATTGAACTCCCATGTCTTCGGTCAACCATTTAAATTTTCTCTTTTCATTGCTGTAGTTCCATAATCTTGAGTTGTCTTCTTTTAACCAGTTTATTACAGTCTCAGAGTCTCCTTCTATGATCAGCTTGTTTATGTGCAAATCCTTAGCCCTTTGAATCCCTTCCAAAGCTGCTAAAATCTCAGCCCTCAAAAAGTTTCCTATTCCAATTGGCCCAGAAAACATGGCTAGCACATTCCCTTTTTCATCCCTCATGACTCCCCCAATTCTGGAGGGCCCTGGATTGCCCATGCTGCTGCCATCAAAATTCAGTTTGGCAAAACTAGGGGGGGTCCAGTAAGAGCTTGAAACCTTCCTAGCTGAAACTGAATATGCAATTTCCTTCTAGTTCCTAGGCAGGTCATCTACTGAAATTTTTGCAAATAGGTCCAAAGGCTTCAGCCAATGAGTTACCCTTACATGAATCACTTCTATCACTGCTTCCACAGTTCTCTCCTTCTCTGAGAAGATCCTTAAGTTTCTTCCTTCCCAGATAGACCAACACACTGCAGCCCTAACACATCTCCACATTATCTTTGCCCTTTTTGTTGGCTGGTTAGAAGGAAATGAGGTAAACAAGCTTTGCACATTCGTTGGAGAGTTCCACCTGCATCCATACAAAGAAGTAAACCGTTCCCAAATAAAATTTGCAAATTGACAGGAAATTAGTAAGTGAAACCCAGACTCACCAACAGCTTTGCAAAGGACACACCAATGAGGAGACAAACATCTATTGGGTCTTTTTCTTTTAAGCAAATCTCCTTTATTAACTCTTTCCAAAAAAAAACCTCCCAATAGAAACTTCCCACCCTCAGAGGAATAGGTTTACACCACACCTCTTTAACAGGGAAAGACAAGCCAATAGGAATAGTAGGTCGTGTTATGGCTCAAAAGAAAGATGCACAAGTAAAGGTACCTGTTGTCAGTTGTTTATGTATTCAGATTTAGTACCATAAGGGTACTGTTGTAATTTCTCCTTTGTTTATATTGTTCGACTGTACTAGTATAAATAATAAAATCATTATTTCGCCCCCTATGTTCTAGAGGGCTTTCAGTCACTCGACTCATCTCTCTTCTCTCTTCTCCTCTCCTCTCTTCACTTGCTCTTG